CCCTTAGGATAGGCTCCGAGTCCCTCAATTGGAAAGAATAGTGAGCTGGTGATGAGGATGATGTTTTTATTTTGTGACACTGATTACTTTAAAATATGGAGCTTATTATAATTTTGTAAAATGTTTTGTAACATGTCAACATAAGGACATGAGGTGGCACAAAACTTGACAACTAACATAGTACCTGTCAAAGAAGTTACCGGTGACAAAAATGTTCACTATGTCTAGTCTATACATTTCTTAAATGTCTGTGGCATTTATAGATTTCGCCCGCGACTTTCGCCCGCGTGTAATTTTAAAAAACCCTGTAGCGTAAGTGTCCTTCCAGACTATCCTCCAAATCTATACCAAATTTCATCAAAATCCGTTCAGCTGTTTAGGCTACAAAGTCTAATAAATATCCATCCATCTAAACTTTCGCATTTATAATATTAGTATGATTATTCTGTACAGTGGATAACACAATAGAAACCCACTTTTACCTTATACTATTAGTATGTTTATATTTTCTAGTTGCATGGAATGCAACAAAAATATTTCATAATTAAACGTTCCCCGTGCTAGTTGGTTAAAGTCGCAATAAAAGCAGTTAGTGTTGGTACTCGTAAAATAGTGAGGTGCCACATAATCATCGTACACCAGGCCGCAGTTTACAAACAGTACTTTATGTGAATTATTCTTAGTGCGCTTGTACGTGTTGCGAGGAAATGAGCTAATAAATTTTCGGAGGGCCCGCGCTGTTTTGTTGCATGACGCTGCCAAAGAGCACTTGAATACGTCAATTGCACGCGTATCATACATACTAGTTATGTATACGGAATACACATGGTCGTATAAGAGCATTTTAGCTGACGTGCAAGCTACTGGCATATGTAAACACGTACAAAATGTCAACGAGATCATATGAGACATGTTAGTGTCAAAGTTCGTACCATTGTAAATTTTATGCTAGCTACTAAGAGAGTAAACACACGTGAAACTAAACTATCGCAGAACTCTTTAGTCTCGCTTTGATTCCTACGAGCTTATATGGAGTTACACACTACTCGACTTTTAGTTGTGCAACTAAACAGTTGAATTGGCTGTAAAACAATCGCACAACAGTTATGCGATAATTTAGTCAAAGGTGTACCTTAAGAAACCGGCAAAAGCTAGAGTAAGTTAGATTTTATTGTTATGTTCATTTATAGATAGACTTTATAACAAAACTAGCTGTTACCGTGCGGCTTCATTCGCATGAAATTATAAAAAATTGTTTTATTGATTACATTTGTCAAATTCAATTGCAAATGTCAAAATGACACACATGACATGACGACAAAGCATGGCAATTTTGCTTCCTTGATGTTGGCAACAACTTATGGTCTCTTTCCCACATTAGGGTTTTTATACAATTTACCCCTAAGTTTAACAGCGTGAAAAAATATAGCCTAAAGCGTGACGTAAATGTAGGGCTTGTTATTAAAAAAATAATTATCCAAAAATATGCTGTAATTGCTGACATCTTAGGCAACAAATAAGTGTGTGTTTACGATTTATTATAATAGTATAGAAGTATAGATGTGTAGGTGGATATTTGGAAAACAAAAATGTTTCTCCGACTATATTTGAAGTACAGAGCAGTGAAGATGTCAAGTAAATATTCAAACGTTAATAATGTCCAATTAACTAATCGACCAGAACAAATGAAGTCGATTGAATAATTATTACTTACTGCGCTAAAGATCACTTCCATGTAGCAATATAACTATTGAATATTGAAGTGTGTCTATTAAAACATATATGTAGACAACGTAAATGATCAGTTACATAATATATTATATGCCTTCTTGGATTTAACAGTGGTAGAGTTCGCTTCAATAATTTCTCACGATTACGCTGCTTCGACCAATGCTATGACCACGTCAGACAGGCTTGAAGTGGTATCAATTCCTTGTTTTTTCTGATCCATGAGGGCCAAAGGTCAGATTTTAGTCCTTTTTCCTTTTAGACCTTTTTATTCAAGGTTAAGATGGTATGGGGAAGTGGATTCAGCGGCGGACGGGACGCAAAGGTAAGGGAAATATCTCCTTTTTGTGCGTTTTCTCCTTTGTTGGTTAAAGGTAGGCAATGGATCTGTTGGAACTTGCTGATTTATCACATTGTACTATAAACACATGTTATCTATACTTCTATACTATTATAATAAAGCGTAAACACACACTTCTTTGTTGCCAAAGATGTCAGCAATTACAGCATATAATTGTTTCTTTAATAAAAAGCCCTACATTTATGTCACCTTTTAGGCTATATATTTTCACGCCATTAAACTTATGGGTAACTATTTTGGATAAACACCCTAATTTGGGAAAGATACCATAAGTTGCTGCCAACGTCAAGGAAGCAAGGTTGCTATGGTTTGTCATCATGTCATGTCATTTTGCAATTTATAATTTGATAAATTTAAACAATAAAATAAAGTTTTTACAGTGTCATGCTGTTGAAGCCGCACGGGAACAGCTAGTTCAAGATATTTAAAACAGTTGACCATCTATCAGGAGTTATTTAGAATTCCCTTTGCTTATTTTTTCTTATAACATCCGTTCAAATACGAGCATCGGGTTGCGAATTCTGGGAAGCGAAGTTTCGCAAATAAAACCACTAATGACGGTTTAGTTTGTTGTTTTAGTGGTCACAAGTGGGCTCGGTCGCGACACGAATGAAATAAAATCTACGCCTGTTACGGGAATAATGTGTCTGAGGTAATTTAAATACCAACCCATGCAATAAAAATGAAATACGAGATCTTAAGTAACTTTATTCGTTTAATGGGTCGACATCGCCTAGAAAAATTGTGCTAAATTGCTGGAAAATCTAAGCCCAATTTAGCCACACTCAGATTCGTTAAGAGGCCACTAAGGGATAAAGTTAATATAGATTTACTATCTATCTTCTATTTATTAATCTATACATATAATAAAGTTGGAGTGTCTGTTTGTAATATCAAAAGAAGAATTCGAAACCGAAATCTGTTTCGGGAAGATGTTGTATTTGCGTTGTTGATAACGAAAATCGGATTTAAAAAAATTTTGTTCGTCTGTCTGTCTGTCCGCAAGCCGCGTTTGTTCAGAGTCCAGCCGCTTAGGAGATTACCCGGAACAAACGCGGCTTGAGGACAGACAGAGAGACAAAAAAAACGAGATTTCCGTTATCAGCAAAGCAAATACATCTTCCCGAAATCTGGAATTTTTCTTCTGATATTACAAACAGACACTCCAAATTTATAATATGTATAAATTAAACATACTGTTTTTGGGTGTCCTCTATTTTAGTGGGATAATAATTGTTATTTGATAGTATACCATACTGATAGTAAGAAAGAAAAATATTATTATATTTCGATACATATTAGTCGAAAGTGTAACATGAAGTATGATTTCACTAGAACGAGATAACGAATCACGTGCTTGTCTATAGGACTGTGCCACTGAATAATTTTGAATCCTGTCTGATTGTAATTTGACTAGGTGAATTATAATCGGCAAATATTACTTGGATAAAAGACATTTACAATATGTCGCTCCTACTAAATTAAGGTCTAGCAATACTTTATTAAATTTCATCAGTGCAAAAGATAAAGTGATAACAATAATTCAAATATTGCTACAAGTAAAATAGTTAATTTCAAATATTGTACTGTCTCAATTCAAATGTTTTGTTACTTTTCTAACTATCTATATACTTCTATACTGTTATAATAAAGCGTAAACACACACTTCTTTGTTGCGTAAGATGTCAGCAATTACAGCATATTTTTGAACATCCTTTTTTTAATAAAAAGCCCTACACTCACGTCTAGCTTGTGTCTATATATTTTCACGGCATTAAACTTAGGGGGTAAATATTTTGGATAAAGACCCTAATGTGGGAAAGAGACCATAAGTTGCTACCAACATCAAGGAAGCAAGGTTGTCATCATGTCCTGTCATTTTGACATTTGTAATTGATAATTTGACAAATGTAAACAATAAAATAAAATTTTCATAATTTTATGCGGATGAAGCCGCACAGGAACAGTTAGTTGTTAATAAAGGAATCACTATTTTTTTTGATTCATGTACTTTCTTTCATCAACAAAAGGAAAAAAACCGTAACCAATCCAACGGGAAACTCCCACCAATCAGCGTTAAAATCTTTTCAGTATGTTAAATCTATACAAATTGTCGTAATATGTATCGAAATATCATCACTTTGTAAATTGTAGCGATATTAAATTGCGTCTACAAATTGTCTAGATGAATTACTAATAGGCGGCATTCGCGATCGTTCGGTGGCATATAGCTACTGCACGAATCTCTACTGTAATGGTTAGAGAACAAAGATGAAGACGTAGGCGGCACTAAGTGTACAATAAAATTACTGTGAGACGCACCTATACGTCTTATATCGGTACATCGTATAGAGCTGTTATTACCTCCTGGTTTTATTATTTTAATTATATTTATATTCAAATGTTAAATCTCATAGATAGCCATTCGATTTGAAAAGTAAAAATTTACAAGTACTTATTGTTAATTTATTTTTTTAATTTTTAGAGATAAAAAGTGTTGAGTTATTTATTGTAGTCACATTCTCTTTTAAGCCACTTCATATCTACAGTTTTTCGAGCGTATTTCTAATACTGTCATTTTAAGTAACATCTATATTAAAAAAAAACTAACGATCATTTTATATAGAGGCGTAGGGAAAGATGTTTTGATTGTTATGTAATATAATTCCTGTAAACATTACATAAATCCTTATCTATTCAATGTTTTGTAATAACTAACCTTGTTTGTTGAAATATACGTAGCGTTGTACAGCTCTATGTAGTTCCACATCGCGATCGTATACACTATGTGACACCGAAGATCAACCATATACAGAGCCCTGTTATATACTGGTCTTAAATTATTAAGCTGAATATTTGACGACGAAAGGATTGCGTTAGTTCAGTCGTGTCGCGGAGTAAGCGTGGGCAAGACTTAACAGTCTTTTACGCATCATTCCGCCCATTAAAGGCTAATTTTCCAATAGAAATAACAATAACAGCGAAATAACCATCTAGACCGCGCGACGCCATTTTTGCACACTGACGTACAACTGTTCTATTTTTAAATTTTGCCGCGAAAGTTTCTTAACCTGGTCATAAGACAAATGGCTTTTTTAACGTTCGGTGTGCATCCAGCCAGTATTGACAGATAGTGTTTGTACGATCAGTGAAAAGGTTTTAATGTATAATTGACTTAAAAACAATCACAGTGGATCCGTTCGTGAAGAGAAAGATGAAAGTATTTAAGAAGAAACTTCGTTTCTCGATAGCTTGCCGTTAATTTTGAACTGTTCCTCTGTGTAGTTTTTTTTACTTGTTCACATATCAGCAGCGACGTAAAATTGTTGATTGATGGTAGAATAGTCGAAGAAAAAGGTATGTTTTATTTAATAATTTTATTTATAATCCCCTAGTTCTAAAGAACTTTTTATTATTTCCTTATTATAATGTCATTTAACGGATTTATTGACTACTAAGGTTCTTAAATACTAGGCTTACATTGAGTGCGACGATTTTGTCTCGTTTTTTATAAGAAGCAATGATATAAATGTTTTAAACACATATATCAGCAGTGTAAACCCACTGTATTTGTACAAATAGATAAAAAATATCATACATACAATAGTGTAAGATTATTACGACCTGAAGGAAGTTTGAGATAACTAATCTCTTATCAAAATATGTAGATTTTTCTTAACAAAACGAGGTAAGTAAACTAGTGAAGAAAATTTTATTGAAAAGTTCTATGTGAATTAATATAATTTGCTGTAATTTGTTGGTACAATTTTATTAAAACTGCTGAAACTGTTTAAGATATTAATTACATTGTGCGTAGTCAGGGGACCTCACCATCTATAGAATCGAAAAATGTAAAATTCAAATAAAAATAAAGATTTGTATTTAAAAAGAAAACATTAAAAATATCACCTCCCCTCTTTAGTCTATTTTATTTATAACCAGCATTTTTTAAGAATTTTTTTTTATAACATTTGGCGCCGATTTCTTGCATTTAAATAGTTTGGATTGAAAAGGTTAGAATCGTATCTAGTCCATTTTTGAATTGCTATTGAATAAGCCCGAGGCGTTTGCCCCACTTTGGGATACACCGGTCTGTATAGTATAACGCCTGTTTACTATGCCATGTATTTTATTAATATTTTCTAATATTTTGTTAGATTCGGAACAAATTTTTACAGCCAGGAAAAAAATGACGAGTAAATTCAATGGAAACAACTAGTTTCACTTTAAAAAATTATATTAGTATTTTTGAGAAATGTAATTACGTGTTTTCATTGCATATTATTTGTTAACCACATTATTTTTTAATTTTCCTTAACTTGTGGTTTTAAGAGATTTATGTTTATTATATTTTGTATTAATGTTTTTATGTAACTAACATTTTTTGACGAAAACAAATTAGTCACAATGTTACGTGAACTGAAAATATATGAAGACATTAACAAAATTATGAAATGTTATGGATTTACCATAGTTTACGTTTATATTTCCGTAATAACATAAAGCGGAAAATGTTTGCTGTAGGAAAACTATGAAACTACATAAGTCAGTATTAAGATTTAGTTTATGAATAAGAAATAGAAAAATAAAACAAAAATCGGACAACCACGTGCTGAATGCGATAGCAAAATTACAAAAAAAGTAAACAAAAAAACACAAACAAATTTAGATCCACTTCATTTTGGAAGTCGCTTAAAATGTGTTTCGCGCAATACTCGCGCCTACACGATGCAAAATTTTAAAGATTAACTTTTTCTAGTGTACGAGGAGGGATAAATCGCATGTAACAAGACGTTATTAATGTGGAGGTACACTAGTAAAGGTAGACCTAGAAAGAGATGTATTGCGTGAAAGGTGACATGATCAAGAAGGAACTGACTGAGATGACGAATGATATTTGGAGGACGAAAACACGATGAAATAAGATAGTGGAGATGACTTCCTCGTGCGGGAGGAGCCTAAATCCGTGTCATTTTGAAGTGAGGAAACTTCGATTACTTTCGTGTTGCAATGACGATAAAACACATGACACTAAACTGCTGATATAATGTGTTAAGATAAAATTATATCTCAAGTGTACACTTCTAAATAATCATTAGCAGAGTTCTCGTATTTTCCTTTTATTTTTCCTATATACTCGTATAATATTCTATATATATCTTACTAAAATTATAAATGCGAAAGTTTAGATGGATGGATGGATGTTTGTTAGCGTTTGTAGCCTAAACGGCTGAACGGATCTCCATGAAATT